TCTGTGGCTTTGGAGGCTGTCCTGGAACTAGCTCTTGTAGACCGGGCTGATCTCGAACTCACAGAGATCCACCTGCCTCTGCCTCTTGAGTGCTGAGATTAAAGGCACGCACCACCATCACCCGGCACAATTACACTTTTTTAAATGCTGCTTTTTTTTTTTTTAATAAAAAGCCTCTTTAAAGAGTTTGGGTCTTAAAGAGGTCCCCTACCCCTGGGGGGGGGGAGGAGAAGGGGACAGGAAGGGAGGGAGAGGGGAAGAAAGGAAGAAAAGGAAGAAGGAAGAAGAAAGGAGAAGGAAGAAGAAAAGAAATGCTATCAATCTCCAAAATACAAATAAAATACCAAAATGCCATAAAAAAAAAAAAAATGGTTTCTTCGTGTAGCCCTGGCTGTCCTGGCTCTTGCTCTGTAATCCAGGCTGGCTTTGAACTCAGAAATCCACCTGCCTCTGCCTCCCAAGTGCAAGGATTAAAGGCATGCACCACCAGGCCCACCAGCTGCTCTTGAAGTACAATCCTTGACCAGCAGTAGCAAGTAGAAATTCTAGAGTTATCTAACAACCTACTAAATTACCCCCACGTTTTCTCTGCCACACAGGTGATTCTGGTCCACAATGAATCTATTATCCACAGGTAAGTTTCTCTGAAGCTAAGAGTAACAGTGCTGGCAAAATGTGAAGTGAACAACCTAAGTGCAACAAGTTTGAGAGCTGTCTGTTGCTGTGCTGGTTACAGGCCCTTCCAGTGTCTGGCTGTCTGGCTACCAGAGGGCTGGAAGCAAGCTCCCCAATGTTAGCATAATTAATGTCCAATAGCTACTGCGTGAATTCGTGAATAGATGAACGAATACTGAATACCACAAATGAACAGTTCACATCCCTATCTGCTTCTGCTTTGGGGACAGCCCTAACACTGGCCTACCCAGGAGCCAGGATGAGCCCAGAGGGAGTGGAGTATCCCTCAGGGACCTAGGTCAAACAGCTGCAGTGCTGCAACCTCAGATCAAATCAGACTTTCAAATATAACCGCATTCCTGAACCATTCCGCAAATTCCAGACCAGCAAAAGCACAGACAAAGAGAAAGGACCATCTTGCTCCAACTGCCAAGTCCCGCTCTTTTTCTGCTCTCCCTGCTGCATGCCCGAATGCCGGCAAGCACTTCGAGGTGCACTCCAATGCAGTTGCCCCCAGGACCCACTCTGAGCCAGAGTTCAGAGTCCCAGCCCTAGCTCACGTCGAGGACAAGGTTACCAAAAGGGGCCACGGTTTGCCCAACCACCCTCTCCCACCCCCTTACCCCCGGTTCCTCAGCATTGATGTCTTACACATGCCATGTGGATTTCAGTTTAAAGCACCCCATAAACAGGCCTTGTCATCCTAACCAGATTGAGAAACTAGGCAGACAAGTTAATGATGCATCCATTAACAAAGCCATGTGGGGTTGCACAATACCAAAAGAAGTCTTCATTAATGAAGCCGTGCGGGGTTACACAATACAAGAGAAATCTCTACAAACAGAGGAGCTCATCCAGCCCGTTTCTTCTGACTCATTTCCTCTGGAGAACTTAGAATAAATCTGGCACAGGGCCACAAAATAATTACATTGGCAACAGGAACCCAGTGGAAAAGTAAAAAAAGGAACTGCTAAATTGTGGTGCCTATGGGGCTTCTGCAGAGGGTTAGTCACCTAGTATAGCTTTTAATTTCTCATTTAGGAAGGAAGGGGAAAGCCCAGTTTCTTAAAACTTTAACTTAAGGGGGAAAAAATCAGAGGCTATTTTAATGTTTCTATATAATAATTAGAAAAAATAGACCAATCCTAATCTTTAATTTAAAAAAAAAAATAGCAGAAGTACATGTGTTCTAGCTTGCTTTCTATTGTTATGGTAAATGACTGAAAGCAATTTGGAAAGGATAGAGTGTGCTTTAACTTACAGCTTCCAGTCCATCACTGAGGGTATCCAGGGACAGAGCTTGAGGCGGGAATTGAAGGGGAGACTTGCAGGAATGTTGCTTGCTGGCTTGCTTCTAGGCTCATGTTTGGCCACAGGTCTTAGACCCACCTGCCTAGGGATGATACCGTCCACAGTGTGCTGGGTCCTCCTACATCAATTAGCAATCAAGAAAATATCCCACAGATATGCCTACAAGCTAATCTGATGGAGACAAATTCCTCACTTGAGGGTCCCTTTCCCAGGTGTGTCAAATTGACATCCGAGATCAGGGGTTCGTCTGTCACATCTTGGGAAGATTTTGTGTAAGTAGCTTTTACTGCCCAGATTATCTGCTAGACGCAAACAGTCCTGCTTTGCTGTAGCTGGCCAAAGGGTGTATATTCAGGATAGGTCAGGTGCCATTACACTCACCCCATTAAAGTTAACATTAACCCTCTCTTTCCCTTCTATTTTCCTGCCTTACTGAAAAGGACCAACTAGTTGTAAAAAGAAAATAAAAATGGTTAGTGTCAGGTGTGTCTTTACATGCATGCTCTGGAGCAGAAACAGATTAGTGCAAGAAAGCAGGAGGAAAGGAAGAGAGGGGTAGGGAAAACAGGCAACAGCATAGGGGAGAAACTAGCCAGGAGCAAGAAGGGAAAGTCATAATATTTATGTAGACTATCTCGTGTCAAGAGAGGAAATGGTCCTGTTTTGTTTCAAATCTAAAGTTAAGCCTGAAAAAAAAAAAAAAAATCCTAAGGAATGCTAAGGAGAAAGTCTTTCTCAGGCAAGAGCCCAGTTGGTTGTCCAACACTGAATGCCCAGCCCTGAAATCATATACATACAGGTTACATCATATGGGCTGAGCAGTTGTATTGATATATTTAGGAGTGTGTATATGTGTGTAAGACCAACTGAAGAAAAAAACCATGAGTTTGAGAGAAGGCAAAGAGGGCACATGAGAGGCACTGGAAGGAGGAAAGGGAAGGGGAGAAGTTCTTAATTATAATTTCAAAATATTTTTCAAAATTAACTGAAAATCCCTTATAAATGTAAACATATATTTCTTGAAAAAAATTCACAGGTGTCTCTAAACATGTTAAGATTTTTGGTTTTTCAAGACAGGGTTTCTCTGTATTGCTTTTGAGCCTGTCCCGGAACTTACTCTACAGACTAGGCTGGTCTCGAACTCACAGAGATCCGCCTGCTCTGCCTCCTGAGTGCTGAGATTAAAGGCGTGTGCCACCAATGCCCAGCAATAACTATTTTTAAAGCTGTTTTAGGACAGGGACTACAATCTCAGCAACCCAGCCCTTCCTACCATGTGGGAACTAGGCTCACTCTCCGGCACCAGTAGGGAGGAAAATGGGTTTTTTCCAAAGGTAAAACAAGGGCTAGGGACATAACACTGAGACCCAGCATTTGCCCAACACCTATAAAGCCTTGAGTGTAAGCCCCAGCAGTGCCAAAAAGGGGGCAAAAAGGTAAAACAGTCAGCCATCAAGTTGACTACATTCCAAGGTAACCCAATAGTTGAAGATGGTCTTTTTGTAGAACACATCTCTTGGCTAATAAATTATAAATAATGAGAACATCACAACTTTGTAGCCTGTCATGCAACCTCTATAGGAAGACAGACAGACAGACACAGTCACAGGTGGCCATTTGAACACAGCTGTTACTGACAGAGCAGTGCACAGATCTGAAATGACACTATGCACCAACCATACTGCATCATTTAGGAATTTATCAGCCTATCATAAAGGACAGGGGTTACTCAGACTGAATGACAAAGGAGAAAACATGAGAAGTCAGGGAAGTGTTGTTCACCTTTTATTCATGCAGCGCTCAAGTCCACTTCCAACATATTTGCAGCCTGTGTTTCCTTGACCCCCCTACAAAGATGTTGAACTTAGAGACCCACATGCCAAGCAACAGACCTGCAAGCTGCCTGCTAGACTTAAAGGCATATGTGTTAAAGATAACCTATGAGAACAAGTGGGAAGGGAAGACCCGTTGTGGTTTTTTTTTCTCGAAAGGTAAATTTCCCAGTGTACAGGGGGCCTTGGTGCCTCAGTTAACAATATGGTTTCATGGGAACCATTCCCCAAAATGACATTGTCAGAAGCAGGCTCGACCCCAAAGAGGACAAAGCTGTTAAGGCTTCGTCCACTATCCAAACAGCACCCGGTGGTCCACAGTTTCTCAGTGGACTGCCGGGCAAACTCAGTTTTGGACACACATAGTTACCTATAATTCATCAGGCTGTGGTTTAGAAGTAATTGTCGGAGTTGGCAGTTCTGGGGAAATGTTCACACATCCTCTTCAATCCCCAAAGCAGGCATTACATACAGCCCATCTCAGTGGTGCTTCCAGAGGGCAAATCCCAATTTAAACACACACACACACACACACACACACACACACACACACACACACACACACACACACAAAATCACTTTTTTTTCTTGACTTGAACCAAAATATGGGCAGCTTATATTTGTGTGTATATCTGTGTCACCACTGCTTCCCTGGAGGCCCCCACCCTGCCTGTATTCACCATGACAGTATGAGGCTTTCTCCTCCAGTGACTTTTCAGCCGCAGTCTAGCTCAGGACCTGTGTTCCTCAGTGGCCAGGAATGTTACAAGACTTCAGGGCTACCTTGGGAAGAAGAGGAGGATACAAATGTATCCCTAGAGGACACTCACTCCTGTCAAACAAGTCAAAAATGGCTGGCTCCCCAGAAGCAGAAGGACTTAGCTAAGAAAAAAACCAAAAAACCAAAAAACAAAAGGTGTAGTCAAGCCCACGGACTACAGGCCCTGGAAGGAGAAACCCACAAACCGACACACAAACCCAAGAAGCCGGTGTCCAAAACATGAAGAGTTCACTTGGCATCTCCTGTGCCAGGGGAGGATGCCCACAGCTGTGTGCTCTAGCACAGGTGTCTACACCTGAGTCTAAATGTAACAACACGTTGTGGGGGCCACAACCCAGCCCTCCTGTCTCAGGAGGCTCTTAGAGAACCCTGCAAACATGTATATACACACAATAAAATTTGCTTGATCAGAAAATAGAGGCGCTTCAGAAATAAAGTATCAGTACTCATCTTGGAGGGTCCTTCAGTACTGCCTGGAAGTGCACAGGGGATTAGGAGTTGGTGTTGTCTTATTAGTAATATTCACATCTGGGGGGCTGGAGAGGTGGCTCAAAGGTTAAGAGCACTGGCTGCTCTTACAGAGGTCCTGAGTTCGATTCCCAGCAACCACATGGTGGCTCACAACCATTTATAATGAGATCTGGTGCCTTATTCTGGTTTGCAGACAGAACACTGTATACATAATAAATAAATCTTTAAAAAAAATAATATTCACATCTGCTTTCTGTTCTTTGTAAATACCTCTTAAATTACTCAAAAATATGTTTAAAAATAAATATACAATTCAAATATGTATATATTTGACCATTTTAAGTATTTTTATATATGCATTTTATTTACATTCCTCCATGGTCCACTGAAGTCTGTATTTTTTTAGGTACCTAGGGAGCCATATCATTAAGGCTAATGGTGGTTTTATCCAGAAAAAAAAAAAAAAAAAAAAAAAAAAAAAAACATACCAACAGTTATTTTTCAGTTTCTCGGCAAAGCACAAAAGGAAGGAAAATGGTTTGGTTTTTAATTCCAAATGTTTCCAACTTTTTAGTGTCAGGTCACTATTATAAAATTTGTTCATATTTTTATAGAACTTGGAGAAAATGCAGAGTAAATCACTACTTTCTGTTTAATGAAAACTGGCTTAAGATTATGTGTGTGGGGGGGGAAGGTCCAGAAAACTGGCCAGTGGTTTCTTCTACAGGTAGACCACACTTGCCCAGGAGGCCGTGGAGGGCTCCATGACTCTGCTGGTGTGGCCACTGTGCTCTGTGGATACCCCACAAGACAGTGGCTCCGAAAAATCCGGAGGAAAGTACTGATCTGACAGGACATTTACACAGCTCAGAAGGATATATCCAGCCAGTGTGAAGGACACATCCAGCAATCACAGCTCAAACCTTCTTGGTGGTTTCTTTTCATAACCTAGAAAGGACCCCCATGTTGATCCGCCCGCTTCCCTGTGAACACACACAGAAGGAACTGCACAGAGCAGCCTGTCCCCAGACACTTGGTGCTGCATCTGAACATACTCTGCAGAGGGGCAGAAACCAAGTCCAGGTGTGCCGAAAGACTGCCGTGATGACTGGACTATGAAGTACAACTCATCTATAGCAAGCACGAAGTATCAAGACCATCATTTTGTGTTTCTAAAAGCTGTGCCGTGTGAGGATATAAAACATGGCTACAACCACATGGCTGCTTAGCTTTCTAAACCTGATCCGGACATGAGCCAGATGCAACACAGTTCAGCAGAGAAGTGACACCAAGCAGATAAACCAGAGTGAGAAACCCTTCACATAGTTTGGACAAACTTCAAACAGAGTAACACCAAATGTTTTAAAAGTAAAAACAAAGGCAGATGGGTGTGGCGGTCACCTGAAAAGAGCCTGTGGCTGGTTAAGTTGCTGTAAGGGTCAATACTAATGGATCAACTTCCACATCACTTGATAGAAATTTCTCTCCAAGGTTCTAATTACAATACAATACTAATTAGATTAACTTATACATCTGGTTAATAGGAGCACTGATGAAAATGAAACAGTCCCATCTGGAATCTCATTCTGACTGCTCTTCAGGGATACAGAGAGAGGATGTTGGGAAGTGCACCAGGGCACAATGTTCACAATAATAACAAAAAATCTGAAAAGATACATGAAAGACCCATAAATATGCCTTCTACACAAGAGACAGGAAAATCAAAAAAACGCTGTGCCATGGTGATCTCCAGCAGCCACGGCACTTCCTAGACTACTCTTTGGAGATGCCATCCTTGGTCTTAATTGTTTATGAAGTGTGCAACATGATTAGTGTGGATCTGTTTTTCACTCAGCCCCAGAAGAAGCATGAGTGGACGTAAATTCTAGACGAAAACTACTGTTGCCTCTCAGAGCAACCAGGAGCACTGTGCCTAGTCTTGGAAACCCTCAGACAAGCTCCTGCTAACCTTTGGATCCAGGTTTCAGACTTGCAAACACTTTGGGGTTCTTAAGGGCAAGCGAGAGCTCATTGAGGAAGGAAATAAAATGGGAGTCTCTCTCAGATTTTTTTGACTCAAAAATGACAACGATGGTGAAGTGGGGTTCTGGGCGGGTCAGGAAGTAGGTACTCTGGACTTTGTCATCATAGAAATGGACCACTTTCTCCAAACTGTTCAGGTCAGATGTCCGGTCTGTCATGATCATGATGACATTGGGCCAGTGCATGACTGGCCTGTCACTGGGCAGAGACACCACGGCTGGGTACTGGTCCACTCCCTTAGGGGCCTCTCGGTAGGAATGTGGGTGGTGGTAGCCATGACCCTGAAAGCTCTCTGAACCTCGGTTGTCAAAAATTAAGGATACATTGGCAGCATCGTACTTCCTGATGAAACTGGAGATCTTTCCAAAGAGGTCGGGGTTAGCCTTTGCAGTCAGGGCTTTCATTTCCGAAGTGGTCGTCTGCCGGCTCAGTGCCTCATGGAAGTAAAAGCTGAACTTGGCCAAGAGCATGTTTTTGAGTTTTACCAGCCAAAGGAACAGGTGTGGGGGCTGGACAGCCTTCTGAGACTGCCCTCCAAACAGGTGTTTCTTGGTCTCCCTCTGCTTCTCAAAGGTCTGGCCCCAGCTCTGCAGCTTCGTGTGAGCGTTGTGCAAAGTCACCAGAGAAGGGAGGAACTTCCACTCCGAGATCTGGGCCTGCGCCCTCAGGAGATGGCTCAGCACGCCCACTTCCAGCTGGAAACTGCTTTCCAGAGGGCTAAGGATAGGATGGTGAAATCTAGACAGGATTGGAGGGAAGAGAAATCAGTGGCAATGTCACTTCACAGTGAGAAACCTTCAAAAATAACAAAACAGCAACAGCATAAACCCCTAATACACTTCGGCCAAGGACAGAAAGGGGCAGAGTCTAGGCTCATTAATTGTTTTTAGAACTCTGGTATAACTTGGGCATTTCATTTCATTCTCCCAAGAACATACCCTGTATTTTGTGGGTTTTCTTTTAATGAAAGTATCTTCTTCCCAAATAAGGAGAAATTACATTGATTGTAATACTTTATTTATTTACTCTGAGAACTTCGTGACTATCACTATCATCAAAATGAGGTACCCTCTTTTCAGGGTATGCAACTACTAAAACACCTGCTGTCCACAGATAAATGATTTTACTGGTCACAGACCCATTTTACAGATGAACATAAACACTGTAACCTGCTATCTGACGCTCAATAGATAACAGGCATTTAATAAAGGAATACAGCATTTCCCAGACAACTGTTATCCATTTTACTCCCGGAGTCCCTTCATGGTTAACCAGGGTTAAAAATAAAATGCCAACCAAAGGGTGGTGGGAGATAGAGCACGATGGAATACATGCGATGACAAGCAGAAAGGCACCATCCAGAAGGGGGAAGGGGCACAGGTCACAAGAGGGTAACAAGTTCAGACAAAGAATAGTGACTGTTAACTGCTATCTGTTAGCACTGTTTCACTTCACAATAATATTAGAGGAGGAGCAACAAGATACAGGAGCCCCTGACGTCTCAGCAGAGGAGAGTGGGCAACTTAAAGGTGCTGAGGCAAGTGAGAACATGGCCCTTCTTCACCAATGGTTCTCTCTGACTCTTCAGGAGAGCACTGTGTTAGAGAAATCTGCTCCCAACCGAGGTCAGGCCCCTAGCACTAGCCACTCTTCTTTTTTTAAGATTTACTTATTTAATTTTATGTGCTTGGTCTGCATTTATGTCTGTGCACCACCTGCACGCTGTGTCTGTGGAGGTCAGAAGACAGTGTCCTATCAGATGCCCTGAATTTAGACTTAGAGATTGTTGTGGGACATTATATGGGTGCCGAGAACTGAACCCAGGTCCTCTGCAAGAGCAGTAAGTGCTCTTAACTACTGAGCCATTGCTCCTTGGCCAGCTTTTTCTACAAGCTGCAAAATCAAACGATGGCTTTGTTCAGTAAACTTGACATTTTAATCTTGAAACAATTTTAAAATTGGATGGGTTTGCTTTTACTGTTGCCCAGATTTAGGGCATTTCAGCTGAGCTTTAGGCCTCTGTTTTTAACCTGCCTGTTGAACCTCACTTGAAAACCAGCTACTAATACCTTTACCTCAGATTTAGCTTAGTACCTTTTTTCTAAATCAGTGTAGTCTCTCTCTATTTGTCTGTGATTACTATCCTATCTGTGATACTATCACAGGGGACAGGAACCTCCAAATACTCTTTGGCAGGAACCTTTCACCACTACTACCATCTGGCCACTAAGACTACTCACTTCTTGTTAGCATCCTATTTTCATTGTCCTGCAACCTCATGAAACATATGCCACGTGCTGTACTACCTACCCCAGCAGCCTGCCCACTGCCCTTTCCTTCAGTGATCACACCTTTACTGTCCTGTTCCATAACCTGGTGCTACACTAATTAGTCTAAGACAGAGATGAGAACATGGCATTCCCCTGTTCATACCTTTCAAGGTTTCCCACTATTTACCAAATTGGGCAAACTTGCAGGCTGAACACAACTATTCACTAACTTGTTCAGCTGGTATTGCTTAGGCAGCTGTCATGCAGTGGGTGCTGTTCTGGGATTGTAAGCAGGTGGCATCTTGTTTGGGCACCTTTCTTTTTAGTCAAACCTATCTGAATTAAAATACCCAAATGTGTAATATCCTTCAGAGGATGTCTTTCTAATCCAAGTAGTACCTGTTATGTTAGGCTCCAAGGAAGCCAAAATAAAACTAGGCCCTCCGTTTTGGTGATGCTCTTAAATTCCTACAATTCTGTAGGTATTGTTTCCAGGGTTAGGCAGTGGGCAGCATATCACAAACAGCTTCATTTCTTTCTAAGGAGCAAGTTTCTTCAAACAGAAACAATTTTCCAGTTGAGCAAAAAGAAATTTAAGTTAAAATGGCCTCGAAATAAAGAACTAAAGTTTGTCTTCCGACAGTGAGTTGAAAACAAAACCAAAGCAGAACTCCCCATGCATGTTAACGACCCCAGGAGAGCAACAGAGAGAACTCTCAGGTTATTATTCAGAAAAGAGCATTTATTAGACTAGTAGCTGCTCAGTCACATTTATCTCCATATGACTGTGTGTGCGTGCGGGTTCAATGTATCTCCGTGTGAAAGCCACAGATGGCATCAGGCACCCTGCTCTGTGTGTTTGTGTGTGTGTATGTGTGTGTGTGTCTGCAGGTTCAATGCATCTCAGTGTAAAAGCCAGAGATGACATCAGGTGCCCCACTCTATCTCTCTCTGCCTTGGTCCTTGGACACGAGGTCTCTTACTGAACATCAGCTGTCTTCCTGTCCACGACACTCACAGCACTGGCATTACAGGTGTATGTGGTACACAGCTGTACCCAGCTGTACAGTGGTACCCAGCTGTGGACATGGGTGCTGGAGGCCTAAATGCTGGGCTTCATGCTTGCAGAGCCAGCGCTCTTACCCGCTGTGCCATTTCTCCAGCCTCTCTAAAACCATTTTATTGTGTGACTGCTGTCTTTCCTGGTAACACACAGAGGGGTCTGCCTAGCATGGTTAAATGAACCCCAGAGTGCCAAATGGCCACCTGTTGTTCAATGAGCACATATGAAACCAGGACCTTCCTAAGAGTTAGGGAGAACTGAGAGCCTGTGTGGGGCTGACAGACCACCCCATTCTCCACACTGACCTGGAGCTGTATTTCTTGAGGACAGTATCCAAAATGCCAACCAGTTCTTCCGCGTTGATAAACTTCTGCGTACTGAGGGCGTACATCTTCTCGTAGAACTCTGCGATCTCCATCCGAGCCTGGACAAAGAAACAGAGCTGCTCTGACAGATGGGGGAGGAGCTCCTCCATGTGAGGGGCCGTTCCACCCGGGGCGCCTCGGCCTGTCACCACTTTCTTCAGTTCGTTATGCAGGGCCGTGTAGATGGTGCGGATGGAGTCCTTCCGGCTGAAGAATGACTGGCCGCCTGGGAAGCGGGTGACATAAGCATGGGACAGGTCAGGAAGACAGACAAAGGGACCCAGCACCTCCCGGCACCCACGGGGAAAGTAGAACCTGTGGAGCCCAGTGAGTTTCTGTCTACCACATTCTGACTCAAGGACTCAGGTACGGATCTCCCAAGCCAGCACCTCACTGGGGAGCTAGTCAAAAATGAGCACTGGCTACGAATTAATCTTACTCACATATCAATTTTCCCCTATTCCACTTCACCAACATTCAAATTTATTTCAGAACATAATTACCCTAGCATATAACATAAACCTGGATTTTAAAAGACCTATCTTTTTTTTCTTAAATAGACAATACTTTTTTCAAAAGGAGAACACAGGCATTATAAGACACTTCCATTAGGACTGGTAGCTTGGAACATACTGCTCTCTCTTCAGACGTGCATTGTTCTTGAATCTTATCTTTTAGGCTGTGCCAGGAAATGAGAACGCACACTCATACACCCTTTTATAAAAGAACACACTGGGTTCTGGGATTCGGGTAGGGACTGCAGAGCTCTTGACAAGGTTGACAATGAGACTTCCTAATAAACACCACACTGTGTTGTTACTGGGTTACTGGGACCAAGAGCCAATCTCTTGGCTCCCCTACCTTCTATTACACAGCAAGGACCGGTCTTTCTTCCTGCCGGGAAGCAGTCAGAAACACCCAACTTACTTCCCTTTCCAGTACTTTCAATTTACAAATTATGATGTTTTGGATTTTTCCCCCCAGAATTGCATCTTATTCTACAATTTCTTGTAATAACCTTTTAAACATGCATTCTCAAGTCACCTCCCAGTGTGCTGAAGTCTATCAATCGGGGTTTGGGGACATGCTCCTGTAATGACTCAAAGGTCAGGAAGGTATGACAGTCTCAGATCCTGCACTGCTTTCCACGAAGCACATTTTAATCACTGTTCTTTTCCCAAACTAGTATTTTTCTGCCCTCAAAGCAAAGTCACGCCCAGATTCAGGAATGGAGCAGGACAGTGACAGGAGGCCCTGTCAGGTCTGCCCTTTGTTTAAAGGCCCAGGACCAGCTGCTGGAGCTTCAAACAGAGGTCAAAGATTTGGTGGTTTTTTTTTTTTTTTTGAGACAAGGTTTCAGTTTGTAACCCACGATGACCTTTAATACCCCATTCTCCCACTTCTGCCTCAGGAATACAGGGATACCAGCATGTTGTACCAATACACCAGTTTAGACTCACTTGATAGTTGCTAAGCCAGTAGATCTTAAGTATTCTCACCACAGAAAGAATGAGGTGGTAAGGATACATTCCCTTGCTATGGTGATCACTTTATAATGCATATCAAAACATCAACTCAGATATCCTAAAGATACACAATTTTTATTTGTCAATTATACCTTCAAAAAAATTTAAAGACTTTTTGGACCATGTTGCTTTTTGTTTTGTCTTTTGAGGCAGAGTGTCACTATGCAACCCCAGTCAGCTTAGAACTTTCTATATAAATGTGGCCTTGAAGCCACATCTGTCTCTGACTCCCGAGTGGGGGGATTAAAGGCATGTACCACCTTTTCTAAAGCATGTTTCAGATTCTTTTTTTTTTTTTTTTTTTTTTTTTTTTCTCGAGATAGAGATTCTCTGTGTAGCTTTGGAGTCCATCCTGGCACTCACTCTGTAGACCAGGCTGGCTTCGAACTCACAGAGATCCACCTGCCTCTGCCTCCCGAGTGCTGGGATTAAAGGCATGTGCCACCACTGCCTGGCTATGTTTCAGATTCTTAAAGAGTATATATAACTGCTTCATTTCAATTTAAAAAGAAAACCATATGAATTTAAATCAACTATAGAACATGGCACTGTTTTAAATAACAATTCTTCCATGTTCTGATAATCATAAAGTCCCACTGCAATCACGTTTGCACCACAATACAAATACAAAGTGTTAAATTTTAAGTTTTGAAACTGACCTATAAGGACTATCACCTGAGCGTATAGGTTACGAAGGACTTAAACATGCCATTTTAGAACATTTATTGGGAGATCAGCACTACAGCCCCCAGGCATGTTTCATACTGTAAACTGCTATGTGGTCAGTCAACTTCAAGGCAGGTCCCTGGAGGTCATCTACAAGACAGCTGAAGTTCAAGCAGAACTCAGCACTTTACACAATAGGGCGACTTCAAAGCCAATAACAGTAAAGGATTTAAATGTTCACAGCCAAAGTGCCCAATTCTCTTTACACAGAAACCTGGAGTACACAATTTAAACTTAGTGCAGATTTTACTTATTTATTTTTACTGGAACCCACCAATGGACTTTAGGAAACCCAATTGTTCTCTTTCTCATTATCACCCTCTGGTTATGTACACAATAATATGTACAAATGGGGGGAATATCTTGGCAACTGTCATCACATTGCTATGGATGACCTCACACAACAGCAAAAAAGTTAAAAATCATTGGGTCAATAATCACTTTTTACAAGTAGGGAAGGCTAAAACAACCCAAACTGCCTGGATATTATCTACCTTCAATATTACAGCTAGAATACATATATATAATACACATACATGAACATAAAGTATATGAATAATAAAATACGTGCATGTTTTAAATAACTCATACATATACACACAATCTGATAACTCAAGGCAGATGTTCAGGTTTGAGATACAGCCCCTACCACCATAAATGCATGCACAGTTCACTACACTGTAGAAAACGGAACTGTAACACTATACTAGCAATCGCACAATTGTGTGAGGTAACACTGTAGAGAGAAAAATAGAGAGAGGGTGAAATTCCTGGCCACTTTTTGCCAATAAATCATCATACTAAGTTACAAATTATTTGAAAAGCTATAGAAGTTAAAATCTCAGAAAGCACTTTCCCTTCAGTGTTTACCAAACATTCCGTTAAGATACCTGGTAACAAAGCTGGGGGGTGGTGGCACTCGCCTTTGATCGAAGCACTTGGGAGGCAGAGGCAGGTGGTGGATCTCTGTGAGTTTGAGGCCAGTCTGGTCTACAGAGTGAGTTCCAGGACAGCCTCCAAAGCTACAGAGAAATCTTGTCTCCAAAAACAAAACAAACAAAAAGCTATCTGGCAACACAAAGGGATTAACTCTATATGTCATTTACATCCTCTTTCATGGTAGTATTCTTCATGACGTAGATGTGTATCCTTCATTCATGACAGGCCCTGAACTTTCAATAACTAAAGGGTCAAAAAGAAGCCAAAGAACTGAATCTACCCCAATTCTCTGGGAGTAAGTATCGTTTTACATCATTATTACAAGTAATACTTGGAATGCATGGCCGTTGGCTTTTATGTATGACTTCCTTACAGACGGATACCCATTGTTTCTTGCAGCGATGATCACTTAAAAGAGTTCCTGTCATCTTATTTTCAGGAAGATTACATGACGACTAGCAGCGTTCACCCTGAGAGTCTTCCCCTGTTAAGAATTAACTTTTGCCTTTCCTGCCCAGGGTCTGCTTACTCCTCCATTCACTAAATATGCACTGAGGTACTACGAAAAGGGGACCAGAAAAAAAAAAAAAAAAAAAAAAAAACACCAGTATTTATTAACACCACTAGGTTCCATGGCCTGGCTTTGCTCATCAGACCGCGGTGTCGCTAGTTAGAACGGGGGACGCAGAGCTGGACTAACTTGTCATTTACGAAACCGAGCCATGCACGGTTCAAAACTGTAAACCCAACGGGTTTGAGGGCATGCCCAGCCGAGAACATCGGCCCAGTCCACTCCACCGAGGCAGCAGGGGCTCAGGCC